GAAAGAAGGTTTTAGAAAAACAATTCCTGATGCTATGGTAACCATAGTTGGGTTCAAGTGACAGGCTGATGATGGGGGAAGGGAAGGATGCTGGGTGAGTGTTCTCGATAATCTGTTGAAAAGTGAATAGAGGGTAGAATGAAGAGGAGAATAAAGCTAAGACACTTAACGATTACAAAATTAAAAAAAAAAGATTTAGATCTTAGAAATCTAAATTCTTTGAAAGCATCACTTTACAATTTGCCAAGTCAGTATAACAGGCTTGAATCTTCTGCCTGCTAGTCATGAACTTAACAACACATCTTTGAAAAATTAAAGTAAAAACCGTTAGAAATATGAGGAGAAGTTGCTGGTTCATAGTGGGAGATTTTTTATAGATCCTTCTTGGAAATCAGTTAAAAAATGTAAGATGTAAGTGAGCTGAATGTCATAATTAAGCTTGATTTAATAGATTTGCAAGTTTGGATTCAATAAACAGAGAATACATGTCCTTTCCAAATACTTGTGTATTCAAAAAGTTGGCCATAGGCCACATGTACATACATGCATGCCAAAAAAACAAAAACAAAAGATAAACTCAAAAAATTAACAGAAGTAGAAAATTGTATAGCCTACATTTTCTGGCAACAGGGCAGTGAAACTATAAATTAAACTGAAAAGGAAAGCCAAGGAGAAAGAAAGGAAAAAGGAAAGCCATGCAGAAATTTATTAGCACTGTCCTAAAAAGTCTTTAGTTAAAGAAGAGATCAAAACTGAATTAGAAATGAGTTACATTAAGAGTAGTACATATCAAAAATTAGAATATAACCAAAGCAATATTTGGCTAAAGTATTAAAATCATAATTAAAGTTATTCACACTTCTGAGAAAATAGAAGAGAAGGTGAACTAAGCATCAGTTTTAAACCTAGAGAAAAGCCAGGTAAACAATCTGAAAGACAAAGAAGGAAGAGATTCAAAAACCTGAGAGAACCCATGAACACATAAACCACAAAAAAGAAAGCTTGCTCCATAAAGCCTGAAATGAATTTGTAACTCTAGATGAATGAGGTATTTCTTAATATATATATTTCTTAATATATATAAATATATGTTATATATATTTCTAATATATGTTAGTATAGATAATTCTAAAAAAGGTGGAACACTTGAATAATCTAATAACCAACAAAGAAATCTGTCCTTTCCTCCTTTAAAAATATACTGAGTTCAGATAGGTTCATGAGTTATATGAAAACATCAAAGAATAGATAATTCCTGTGGTATATGAACTGCTTTACAGCCGAGAAAGAGGTAGAATGATAAACAGGTCATTGAAAAAGTTAGTATAACTCTGGAACTAAGACCAGATGAGGCCAGCACACACACACGAAAAGAGAGAGCTGCGGGCTAATATTACTCAAGCTTATTAATCTAAAAATCTTAAAATGTTAGGAAGTCACACCCAGCTGGACCTTTAGAAAGAGGGTTTATTCTAAGAAAACGAAGTTGGTTTAAAATCTACTAATTGATTATATTAGTAAATTAAAGGGAAAGCCAATATGAATCTTGAGAAAAGTTGAAAAAGCATTTATAATAAGATTTAATCCTCTTATGTGGTACCTTATGTGGTACCTTATGCCACGTGTGTTACTAAGGCAGGTCTTCAGAAGTAAATAAATCTCTCAAGGCTTGAGCTGCAAAATACATATCAGTCAGTGACAGTGTTGGGACTGTTAAAAGAAACTTAAAGAGCAGAATAACTAGGAAGATCTAATATGTTGGGTTTTAATGAAAACATCTTTCTTTGAAGCTTATGTCTTAAAAATCTGATTATACATACCAAATATTTTCTAGAAGAAGAATGTAATAGAATGTGATACAGAATAAGTTAATTACAGCACATTAACAAGAGTAGAAATTAAGTGCTGTTTGCAGTTAAAGTCATAGCACTCTTATTAATTATGAGACCATGTGTTTGTGTTTGACAGAAAAGAGATCTACTCAGTGTGCTTTACACACTCCATCTCCCATACAGCCACGATTCGCTTTCTCCTCCTCAGCTCTTTGATTTGTTCTGCCCACGCTGATGGGGATCCAGGAGTGGAATTCCTCTTAATTGTGTTCTCTTCTGAAGACAGTTGCTTGGGCTTGTAATATGAAAATTGGATATATGTATCCTCTGTATATCCTGCTGCAGCCACACTGGCCCCTTGCTCCTCTCGGGACACGCAGGAGTGCAGTAGCTGTGCCCTCTGCTGGGATGCTCTTCTCCCAAGTATCTCCATGGCCCCCCCCTTCACTCCTTCAAATCTGTTCAAACATCAGCTTCCCAGTGATGCCTATTCCAACCAAATTGTTTTGTTTTTGTTTTGTTTTGTTTTTTTAATTTATCTTTGGCTGTGTTGGGTCTTCATTGCTGTGCTCAGGCTTTCTCTAGTTGTGGCGAGCGGGGGCTACTCTTCATTGCAGTGTGCGGGCTTCTCATTGCAGTGGATTCTCTTGTTGCAGAGCACAGGCTCTAGGTGCGCAGGCTTCAGTAGTTGTGGCACGCAGGCTCAGTAGTTGTGGCACACAGGCTTAGTTGCTTTGTGGCATGTGGGATCTTCCCAGACCAGGGCTTGAACCTGTGTCCCCTGCATTGGCAGGTGGATTCTTAACCACTGTGCCACCAGGGAAGTCCCCCGACCAAATTGTAACTGCCCCCCACTTCTTCCATGCACTCTAATTCCCTCTTGCTTTGTTCTATTCCCCCACCCAGCACTTATCACCCTCTGCTACTATATAGTTTGCTTATTTATAATACTTATTGTTTATTTTATATCACCCTCCAGTGCATTGTAAACTATATAAGGGCCAGATCTATGTTTGTTTTCCTTGTGGTGTATCCCAGGCTGCTGGAACAGCAGGCACTCAAGAAATATTTTTGAATAAATTTCCTAGAACTATGAGTATGAAGGCTCTCCTGTGCTATCTTTTGATTAGATAAGAAATAGTTACACAAGGAAGATGGATGGTGAAATGAAAGATACAGCAATCAAGGTAGAAGTGACCTGAGGGACACTTGATTTTGGAAATAGACCTACTTTTGTAATATAAAGAGCTAAGTGGACTGGAAGTAAGGAAGCTTGGATTCTTGCTTTAATTTTACCACTGACCTTAGACACATCGCTTGAATTCTCGGGCCTCAGGTTCTTTATCTACAAAATAGACTAAAATTTTTAGTTTAGAAGGCTGAACTTGGAGACCTCTTGCATCTAACCCTGCTTTGTGCTTCTTTGTGGGTTTTACTTTAGGAAAGACAGAGCTTATGAACGTACCCCAGTACGACATGGCATTATTTTCACCCAACATTTTCCGAACTCTTTCCACTCAAGGTCATGAGGCCATGATGATGTGCTTTTGGTTTATTTCAGACTTCTCTTCTCTTTTTTTTTTTTTTTTTTTTTGAGTTTAAAAAGGTATTAGTCTTTATTTTAAAAAATAGTGATAAAATATGCATAATGTAAAACTTACCATCTTCACTATATTTAAGTGAAGGCATATTAATGCCACAGTTCAGTGGCATTAAGTACATTCACATTGTTTGTGCAACCATCACCACCATCCATCTCCAGAACGTTTTTCTTTTTTTTTTCACACGCACACACACACTGTATTTTATTTTTACAAGAGATAAATAGACTGACGCCAAGCATTGTAAATGGATGACCACAACAAAAGCAACAATGATTGCAATTACCAAACACGAAACACACTCATGCTATGTCATAATATTGACATTCAGTCCAGTAATCCTCCACAGTAACAGCTCCTTTACTTTGCAGTGAAAATTGATTTGTATATTTTTTGCCTCTGAGTCATTGTGGGATTTTTGTTTTAATTCAAACAGAAAGTCACAAAAATTATAAGCATCCTCATCAGTTCACTCAGTCCCATGTAATTAATTTTTTTTTCACCTTGATCTTTTGTTAGCACTTTTATGAATACATCAGTTTTCCATTAGAGTTCTGAAAATGCTTATCCATTCAGTTCAGCAGTATAGTCAGTTACCAGAAACCTGTACTTGTCAGAGTCTTTTCCATGAATTCCTTGAAGATGAAACCCTTTTATAGGAACATTTTTGCAAAAGCATCAGAGTACACCCAGAACTGTCTGTAAGTGACAAAAGACTTAAAAATGACCACGGTTAAAGATTTGATGACAGTTCATAATAATGCAATTGACAAGGGCCTAATGTGGCTATAAGTTTCTTAAAAGCTTAAACCAAGAAACTGAGCTGTGGACTGGGGCTCCAGAAGCTAGGGCTTTGCTTGATTTATTTTTCTTATCTGTAAAATGGAAGTGCAGCAATAGGTTGGTGACGTAATACTGTAGAAAGGAGAATGAGGTACATTTGATGGATTTCTACTAGGGATAGAAACACACCAGATTGCCATTTCGGGAAATTACATGGGAATTTGGCCTCAATATCCATCTTGCTAAAGCTTTCATATCATCTTAATCTGTTCATCTCCTCAAATTTCAGAGCTGGGAGGTCGAGTTCCTCCGTGGTGATTGTCATGCATCTTGTCTTCAGTCCCCAAAGCAGCCATTAGGTATTTGTGGGCCTGTTTTGGTGTTTAAATGTACACTGTTTTCAAAGAACGGCCCTTAAAACTCCCCTAAACTTAAAGATCTTTCCATTGGTCAGTGACTGAGTCCTGTTTTCAGAGTCTCTACGTCACATAGGCATCTTCCCTCCGCCTTTCTTCACCTGGTTCATGTGCTGGACGTGGATTGTTCAACACAAAGGAGGGGACAGGCCGATAGAGAAGGCAGCTTCCACCTCTCGCTCTGGTGTCATGAGCAGGTCACAGGAAAGATTTCCATGGGTGGCTTAGCTGTGTTTGAGGGTTCTCACCAGATTTCTGTCCCTCCTGTACTCTTGTTAGTTAGTCTATCATCAGGGCTGCCTGCACTTATGAGGAAAGTGCCCCATGCTGCCCCGGGGCCTGTGCTAAACTCTTTCTCTCCCATTTAGAAGAGAAGCCAGATTGCTCCAAGGCCCGCTGTGAAGTCCAGTTCTCTCCGCGTTGTCCTGAAGACTCCGTTCTGATCGAGGGTTACGCGCCCCCCGGGGAGTGCTGCCCCCTCCCCAGCCGCTGCGTGTGCGACCCCGCGGGCTGCCTGCGGAAAGTCTGCCAGCCAGGATACCTGAACATACTTGTGTCCAAAGCCTCAGGGAAGCCGGGAGAGTGCTGTGACCTCTATGAGTGCAAACCAGGTATGCACGGGCTTGGTCCCAGCAGCCTCGCTGCTTTGCATCAGAGGGCAGCAGCAGCCAGCCTTCCCCCGCCCCCCTCCGCGCCACCCTGGCCACGTGACACTGAGACGCTGCAAACCTGCTACTCTGGGCTAACGGCAGCCTGGCTTCTGCCCTCCAGTCAGAGAACCATATAATCCACTGGTACAGAAGTGCCTTCAGAGAGGGACCCTGTCTTTTTTTCTTTCTTCTTCTCTTTTCTTCCTTCAAAGTATGCTTGATGGGAGCAGTAGGGTTAAAAATTATGGTACTATGGTTGCCTGCTTCATTCCCCCAGAGGAGGTCATCGTCCTCATTTGCAGATATATCTGTCACTTTAAAGTATTACATTTAAAAACAATCATCATACATAAAACAGAAAGCTATTTTTAGATAAATATATGCATCAAAATGCCAGACATTTTATAATGAAATACTCAGCCCCAGTCTTCCTCCTTGCCAGCTCCCCACCGTCCGTCCGTTAGCTTTATAGCATGTGCTAAGTCATCTTTGACTGTTTACTCAACTTCTTTGCCACATTTGTTTTGTAGTCACGTCCCAGCTGTTTCTGGATCTATGGTATTTCTAACATCTTTGTTCTTGTGGCTGCATTTCTAATGTGGTCTGTGAATAGGTCTGGACTGCAGAGATTTCCTCTTCCAAAGTTTCTAACCATGGGTCAGATTTTTTTTAACTATTTGGTAAATGCTCAAGCCAAGCAAGCCCTTGTTCATCTCTTGAACTGTTTCATCAGAAATGCCTCGGGCTGATTGTCACCATCCACAGAACCACCACTGGTTTAACTCTCTGTCTTTCTCTGTGTCTGCATCTTAACTCTTCAGTGTCTTGTTCCCTTCTTTTCTTGAACAGAAGATTTGGGTCATATTACAGTTCTCTAACATTGATGGAAATGAAAATGCCAGTGCTAAGACAGGGTTTCCAGGAAGCAAGGAAACTACAAAAATTTGAAGAGCCAGTGTTTCATTTGGGGACTCAAAATGCAAGGAAACGTAACGGTGAATGGTGCCTCTGTTTGCCCCCCAGTTTTCAGCGTGGACTGCAGCACTGTGGAGTGTCCCTCCGTTCAGCAGGCCGTGTGTCACCTGGACA